CTATTATGTGGTTGTGTGTAACTGCATGAAGTGATTTAGGTGAACTGTTCTCTAGATTTCTTATCTTATTCGGGTCGGCCAATCTAGATTTTGCTAGGTTTTTATGTTCGGCTAGTCTGACTCACTGCCCCTGTTCTACTACTTTATCCTATGTATTTGACCTCGCAATCATTGCAGGCAGGGTACTATATTAGAAAAACTAAATTGTTTTGTTTTAAAGGCGCCTCAGGAGTAATCCTTTAACCGACGAAGGTGGTTTACAATCGAGTTTGTGGGTTTGAATACCAGCTACTTTTATTCCTGCCTTGTTAAGAAATCTGCGTAAGGCTTCCGAGGTTCCTCCCTTGTATGAAATTACTACTGATGATTTAGATTCCTTATTGCTGGTGTCGCCATTAATATTATTATTATTGCCACTATTATTATTATCATTATTAGTGTTATCATTATTATTATTATTATTATCACTACTGCTATTATCATTATTAATTTTATTTTTACGTTTCCTTACATATTTTCTGACTAATTTATCAGGGTAATTATTAAGTTTCAGGGCTTTTTTAATGTGTATCCATCTATGTCTTGTGCTCTGAGTACAGTGAATGTGTCATCTACATACCTCCACCATACTTTTGCGTTGGGGCTGAACATTTCAATCACTATATTTTTTCACCTATCCATGAATACATCTGCCACAATCGGGGATACTGGTGACCCCATGATAACTTCCTCAGTTTGTTCGTATATTTTCCCTTTGAATTTAAATACTGTGGAAGTCAGGCATAGTTGTGCTCCCAGCATTATGTCCTCAAGTGGCACTTTTGTCCTAAGTTCGAGTTCATGGTCAGAAATGAGTTCGTTTCTGGCTGCCTCTATAGCCATATTTATTGGTATACGTGTATTTGAACTGAAAATGTCAAAACTAACCATTTTTTCTTCATTATCTAATTTTAAATGATCTAATCTGTGTTTTAGTTCACAAGAATTAGTTAGTCTAGATTTCGAGTGAATATTTAGGGGATTTAATACCGTGGCTAAATATTTAGATAATTCATAATTAGGTGAATTTCTAAAATCAACTATAGGCCTAATAGGGTATCCTGACTTATGAGTTTTAAAAACACTATACATCCTACTTGGCTTATCAGTTTTGGGCATCAAATTAAACCACTCAGATTCACCTAGAAACGGCTTTATTCTAAATCCTACTACCCTGACGACGACAAATGGGAGAGAACAAAGAAAACTATAAAACTCAAGTTTCAAAGTTGTGTGATTACAATCGATATGATTATGAACGATAATAGATTGTGTTCGAAACTTTTTCATCCAGTAAATATTACTGTTTCAGTGACTGTGTGATACATCTAATAAACAAACCAATATGGAATGACATAAAATACTTTTAAAGGTGATGATTCTTGGCAAATGTCATCTGTCATAACGAAAAGGAACATAAATAACTTAATGTATAAGCAGTTGTTTTAGTTTTCAGACGTTACGTTGTCCAGCTAGACATCATTTTACTTTTCAGTTCACGAAGAACAGAAGCAGTTAGCTCATTTTCATATATTTACTAAAAGGTTTATTTTATTATTTTTATCAGTAGTCATAAAACTTAATTTCCTTAACTTTATTTGAGATAATATTGAACATTGATCATTGAACAGAGCTTGGAATGTCAGTTACCTCTTTATCTCAACTTCATCGACTGTGAAAAGGCCTCCGACAGCGTAGATCGAGAGGTGATTTGGCAACTACTTTGCTACGACGGGGTAACACCGACAATTATACATCTCATCTAACAGTTATAAGACAATGCTGCATACCACCAAGTAATTCACAACGGGAAACTTACGGAATCCTTCGAAGTGAGGACAGGAGTAAGACAAGGCTGCCTACTATCGCCAATGATCTTCCTGATTGCAGTAGATTGGATAATGTGATGGACAGCTGCTGACAGTGAGGAAACATGCATAAAATGGACTCACACAAAAAGAGACTTGGAGTATCTGGACTTCGCCGATGATATATATATATGTCTGATTTCCCACAAACTGGAAGGTATATGCAAGTGAAAAGCAACAACTTGGCGACAGAAGAAGAAGCATCAAGGATAGGCGAGACTTCAAGTGAACCTAGATAAAACAGAGTTGATGAAGATGGACTGGCCATTCGCTGAGGATACCATCAAGTGACATCACTAGACAAGTCATTGCTCGAGTGGAACCCGAAAGCGAGGCGGCGAGTCGGTCGTCAGTGCAAGGAGGAGGTTATGTGTCGAGGAGATGAAAGCATGTGGACAGACTTGGAGCGGAGTGAAAAAGTTGGCAGAAAACCGAATGTAATCGAGGTGCGCAGCTGAAGCCCTATGTTCCTCTAGGAATTAAAGGATATAATAATAATATAATAATAATTTGAGATTACAAAGCACTTTGGATGTATTTCGGAGACAGAGTCGGGGATTAATCATTGAATCTTTGTCTATCGAATCAACATCAAACACATGCATTCAAAAACGATGCAACTTCTAACCCGAAATACTGAATTAAAAAATGCTGAATGGGATTAAGCCATCCAAAGCAAGTTAGCAAGTCATGTGAATACATTTCGATATGATTATGAGGAATAAGTTGTGCTTGAAACGCCATCCAATTTTTAATACTATATTACCGCTAAGTGTTCTAGGAAATGAATGGTACCCAAATTCTTCTTATGCTTTAATTACATCAGATAAACTAAACAAGGGCTAAAAGTAAAAGTCTTGTTGCTAGGCTACTAAAATACATTATAATAAATGTGTCCAAATACTAGGTCATTCATAATTCTATGTCTTTTAAATAACTTAGCAATATGCCAGTTACTCTCACTCTTAAACAAGGTGTAATAAGATCAGAGTGTTTTTCGAAGGATTAGAAGACTTGTTAACACCGCTTGATTGTACAATTAACAGAAATGAGGACAATAGTACACTTTTTCTGTCTCAAGAACTGATTATATGTTTCTTTTACGAAATGCTCCATCAAATAGACTTGTACGCTGGTACTTGACTAATATGTTGCAGGTTATATAATGACTAAGCGACCAGATAAATCGTTTGCTTTAAGATAATTTGTCCTCAGCTTTCATTTAAACGTAGGTAATATCGATCCATTTCACAGGTGAATTATCAATAATTTTTGATTGGATTCTAGTCAGTAAGTAGTGTAATGTTTCTAGTCCTCTGTTTGGTGCAGACTTAATTCTACTAGTCAACTTTGCAATGTGACCACTCTGCTAGGTGGCTCGCCATCCCAGTGCACTGGAAGTTGTTGATATATATTAGGCGGTTGGAGGTAATCGACAGGAAGCCTCAGACCTAGGTTTCGTGCTAGTTGGCGACCACTACTCAGCAAGGCGTATGTGCTACCTTGGGGGAACTAATGTCCCTTCTGAGATCCGAACCAACTAATATTAACAATTCAAAGTGCACTGTGATGGCGAGCCACCTAGAATGGTGTCCACACTGCAAACTTGACTGACAAAATTCAGTCCGCACCAAATGAAGGCCTAGAAACATCACATTAACTACTAGTGTCCAATCAAAGTATAAAATGCAGTTCTATGGGAGGTCAGTCACAAGCCGGAATAGCTCAGTAGTAATATCTCTGACCATAGCGTTGTGTGGCGCGGGTTCGAATCCCAGAAAGGACACGAGTTTCATCAAGATTGCCGAGAAGCATTGCTGACTGAGTGGTGAGTGCCAACTAGCCCGAAACCTAGGTGGAAGGCTTCCCGCCAATCGCCTTCAACTATCCAATACAAATAACTACTCAGGTCTTATCACGAACCTTTTTATTGCTTTGAAACAAACAAATTTCTATGAGGTAGCCTTCACATATTGTGTCTGTATCCTATTTCGAAATTGAGGACGTATGCTAATCCATGTGACCGTATGATAATCGCACAGAGTTGGAAATTTTCAGTTAATGGAGATGGATTACTTTAACCCTGTACTGATCACATGAATAAACGACTGGGTATTTAAGTTACACTTGGTATTTTCAGATGTCTGTTTGTAAGGATTTGACCAGTTTCAAGGTTGATTACGGACTGACATCAGATAGAGAACTTCTAAAGACCATGGAGTATTAGGTGGTTGTTTCGTCGTAGTATGGATATTTTAGCGGTACCCCATTAAGAATCAAATCCAGGAACTAGAGGTTAAGAGGTTATTTCTCTGACCATTGTTGGAATGCGAGTTTGCTTTTTATTTCTTTACCTTCTCAGGATTGAAGTTCCTGTAGCAGTGGTGTTTGTTTTCATGGGATGGATTTGCTAGACTAATGTCCAACCTTCTCTCTTCACAAGTCTTATAACTGGCTTAGCAAGGTTCAGGGATGAGTCTTCCAAGACCACTTCTACCGCTGTACCACCGACGCACAATGCAATGATATGTGAATTCAAACACATGACATTATTAAATCTACGCAATAGGGAGTATTAAGCTGGAGTTGAACATCTGAAAACTGAGTACTTGTTCCGGTTTTCTAGTAGGCATTCAGTGAATACTAAGCTTTCATAAGTAATATGTCCTTGTTGTTCCCGAGCATATGTTTACTCAGATATCTCCTTTAACATGGCAGAATAAACTGGTACATTTTTTTATATACGATATATTTAGTTCAACGTTTTGGTGATGACGAGAAGTAGAAGACAGAATACACACTTCATCCTAGTCGACGGGGGGGGGCGGGGGGAAGAACCACACACACACACAAGCATTACCGGCCCAATGACATCATATTAACCGAATTGCATGCATGTAGTGTTCATACTAGGCTCTAACAAGTCGTCAACAGAGACCAAGCATTTTTGTACTATATCGAAATCGATCAGCGGGAAATTCATATCAACTTGAATACAAATAAATAATCTTTTTTGCTTTGTTTAATTCCTTATTTATATAAAAATATTTACGATCAATTTAATGCTTTTTAATTCAAAAATCTAATCTTCAGGTGAAAAAAGAAGGAAAAGGCAAAAACGGCAAGAAATCAACCGATGCAAATGATTCAAACTGCAAACAGGCTGGGGATGCATTACCCTCTGATGTCAAGTAAGTCACAAGCATGAATTTATTAATTTTTTTGTTAATAACGTGATCTGAAGTCAGGTCATAAACTGACATTGGTTAAGGAAAGAGTAAACACCAGCAAGTACTGGAAATTCGTTTCGTCCAGGTTTGAAACTCTTCAACAATAGGCGAATAAGATCCCATCGTGTGTGTGGGGGGTCTAAAACCCCACAACTTTCAAATAATGAAAATATCAATTAAGGTGAACACCGATGACATCATCTGACTGTGGGTTTATATATGTATATACATGCATATCAGAAATTGGTAGGAGTTAGAATTCACTGTCTATTGGAATCCATCCCAGTATCTGAGTGGTCATTGGTCTCATTTGAAATTTCTGGACTCGATTCCCAGCAGGCTTTAAGGTATGCACTAATAAAAAGCTTCAAACCAGAGTGAAATAGTCGTTCAGTACTCTCTGGTGTTCAGTGACTCCCTAACTCACATTAGTATCTGATCAGAATAACAAACATTCAAGAACCTTCATACCAACACTTGATAATAAAGTTATCACTTGTTTATTACAGTTTGGAGTACTCCTGAATGATGAGTCTAACCTTTATTGAAAATAAATTAAAACACAGCAATGAGTCACTGATTCAAAAGAAGGAAAGATGAGTTGTATATATATATATTTAAACAGCGAAGAAAATGTTCTTTTCGACGATTCATTTTCATAAGCTACACAATCATAATTATATTTCACGCTATAGCGCGATATTGCGAAATGGTCACGCTATATCGTGAATTGGCAGAAGTTAGAATTCAAGGACGATTTGATCGAGTTCCAGTGGCTCAATGGTCTACGAGATCCGCTTGTAACCAGAAGGTCCTGGGTTCGAACCCCGGTGGGTGCGTACTGCTGAAGAATCCCAAACTAGGACGAAACAGCCGTCCAGTACTTTTAGGTTTTCCAGTGGTTCTCTAACTGATTTCAGCTCATGGTGAAATCCTCCATGTAATCAAACGAAATCCCTACAAAACCAATACTTGATAATTATATTTAACAACATTGGTGAGATGTATTACTTAACGGTAGACAAGACTGTACGATCCAAAAATCAATATATCTCAAGCAAACGTGGACGGGACAGTTTATCAAACTCCAGAGCTTCGTTCTACCGGTCCGAAAGCAAAACCTAGTACGTACATTAAGTTTGAGGAATCTAAAAATCTGTTCAGAAGACACAACAGAGAAAAAACTTAAATTTTTTTACGTGAGACCCTACTAGACAATGGGTATCCACTAAGATTCATAGACAAACACATGAAAGAAAACACTTCGTCACCAAAAATCCAAACTGTTTCTAAGAAAACTCTCTTCATGAACTTGGAATTCAAAGATGAAATCACAGCATAAATTCTCAGAAACTGCCTTTCTAAATTATATATGTCCAAACCAAATTCACTTTTAACACTTTGAAAACATTTGGGCATATATGATATTCACTATAATAGAGGTTTTCTTGTATTTCCCAATGAATTAAAAACAAAACGCCTTTCCAAATGTTTGAAGTAGACATTTCCAACAGCCACCTTACGTATCACATTCTACAGCAGACAGTTATTCCAGTCTAACGTTAAGAATAAGATACCGCTTTTGACCATTTCACTGTGTATTTATCAATTTACTTGCTCATGTGGAGCAAAGCATATCTGCCATACTCAACGACAAGTCCACAAACGTATTCTTGAACACTGTCCAGCTTGGCTAGCTAGCTGCGAACATCCTGTCAACTCGGGACATCGAACGTCTACACATGAATTCTACGCAAAGTCCCTCAGTATGGTACAAAGGGACTTCGCATATACACCATCTGTACATAGCTGAATCATTGTCTACTCAGCATCTGAAAAACGACCTCAGTGTCCAGCCCATGGATTCCAACTTCTGCCATTTCATGGTCTAACATGTAACCAAATAAAACCCTAGAAGCCAAGACTTGATAATTTATCTGATACTCACTAGTGACTGACTCTATACATGAAATTAACCTGAGGTTCTACAGAGAAGTTGTAACCGTCACAGGAGTCCAACTAGTCAGGCAAGAGGACTGGTACCCACCTGTGACACTGGATGGCGGTTGCGCTATATATATATATATATATATATATGTATCATGAATTGTCAGAGGTTACAATTCATGGGCCGTTGGATTGGGTGCCAGTGGCTGAATGATGTAAGAATTCGCGTTATCATCAGAAAGTTCTGGGCCTGAAATCCACTGGATGTTTACCACCAAAGAGTCCCAAACTGAGATGAAACAACTGTCTAGTACTTCCTGGTTTTCCAGTGGTTCTCTAACTGATATCTTCTTAAGATTAAACTTTTAATTCTAAAAGTGTTTTGGGTAGGTGGAGAGAGAGGTTGATTGAGAAATCTTTGTTCCTCGAATATACACCACTGCCGGAGATATGAAAGATACTGCTACCAATCAAATTAAGAGGTGAGATATAAGAGAATTATATAAACGAATTTGGAAATTTGTGTGAGTAACTTGATACGATTATGTGCAATAATAAATTGTTTTGGGAACGTCATTAGTAAATATTACTGTGTAACTGCGTCGGTGGCCTGGCGGTTAGGACGCTCGCCAACTATGCATATCGTCCGGGGTTTGATCTCCAGCCACCGACGCAATCCTTTACATCATTAAGCCAGAAATAATGCTGCTGAAGAGGAAAGGTTGGGCATGAGGCTAGCAAACCCATCCTGTAAAATAAACACTGCTACAGAAACTTCAAGCTACTAGCTTGAGGCCCTACGTTCCACTAGGGAACGTGAAGGAATAAAAAAACACACTGTGAAACTTTATCAAAATAGATTTTTTTCTCAGTGGTTCATTTTGTTTATTGATTTTTATTCCATTAGGTTGTGATTGTAACACAGAGTTTGAACTTCCAGCTTCAGGGATCAGCAATAATTTTATTTTCATGGGGCTAGGTTGCTAGCCTCACTTTCAACCTTAGCCTTTTACGGGTTTGATACAAGTTAGGCGAGGCATAGGAGTGTATAGGTCGCGGAATCAAATCCCGGACCATGTGAAGCGTAGTTGGCGAGTATTCTTCTGCTAAACCACTGACGCATAATGTGCTCTATGCTTGATAGTTGTATTGTTGTAATTATGAGGTCTGGTGAGAAATTACCAAAAGTATAACGTTTCTGCTTAAATTATATTCCCTAATCTCTATGTTTATATTGTTAACTAAATACATTTCCCTGTTCCCGAGTAACTATGATCTCAAATATTTTAGAGATGAGCGTCTGGAAGGTAATAGTGAGAACTCAAACGGCAATGAAGCTGAAGATCGGGTGATCAGTATCACTCAACGACTACACATCTATCTAAACGACAATGACTTCATCGGTTTCGAAATTCTACAAAAAGCAGTTCGTACATGGCATCAATCGCATAAAGGATTTAAAAATATGATAAAAAGTCTACTACATTTGCAGAATTTTCAAATCCATAGTGTGGGAACAGATCCACAACCGACTTTATCGTTAGCATCAACTGCATCGCTATCAAGCACAGCGTCGACACTGAACATTGAAGCATTAGTGGCTAATGCAACTCGAAGAAATACAATTGCCTATTCTACAACAGCCATGAATGAAGATTTACAGCAGTTGATGAGTATGTTTAAACCTTTTCAACAAAATGGTATAACATCAACCCTTGAGGTATCTGCGTATCAAACGAATAAAATTGATGCTATACTGACTGAGTATTTAAGCAAATTTGATCAATGGATCAATAGAGCCAAAGAGATCGATGAGATATTATCGATTAGAAGACAAAACTGCGGTAAATTTAATTATTTATTTGATGAACATTTATATCAATTGGAGAGTATTTTAAGTCCAGTTTATCAAAACTATCCCAAATGTTTTCCTGTCAAGATGTGTGACAAAGCAATAAAAGTGCTGGAAGTTTTGGTGTCACAGGTAATGCTCATTTAACTGCTTTGTACATTGTGTCAACATTTTTGATCATAATTTTTGTATATCTTCAAAAGAGATAAATTAAAATTTTCCACTTAGATATGATAGAAAAGATTTGTAGCTCAGGTGAATGATTTTGATGTGGTTGTGTTCTCTGAGCTGGATAGTTAATTTGCGAAGCATTCATCGCCCTACTAGGCGACATCTTCAGCGCATAATTCAATTCGATTAAGTGAGCTTTTAGATTTCTCCACGAGTTTATTAATCATCTCTGTTGGTCAGTGACCTTGGACGTGATTGGTTGTTTTTGTGTGTTTTAACACCTTCTAGGTTGGTTGACCAACAAAAAGACTCAACAGCGAACGAAAATAAAACCAACATCATCTATAAAATAAATTGTAACAACTGCGAAAAACACTATATTGGCCAAAGGGGACGTCCCCTTCGTCTTCATATTCACGAACATTAACTAGCCGTCAAAAGACGTCCACTTTCTCAAATCACTACACAGACAACCATGGACATCAATTCGACTGGGACAACGTTCAAATATTAGACAGAGGAAACAACAAGAATGCTAGAGAATTTTAAGAAGCTTGATATTCCATTGAATCATTAATCAATAGATGCATCGAGATAGACAAAATTTATCAACCGATAAGAAGTGGACCTCACACAAAGGGTGAAAGTTCAAGTCAAAGAAACAATCAGTTCCAATACAAGTAGCCTAGAAGGTGTGAAAACACAAAAAACAACCAATCACATCCAAGGTCACCAGGGGAGATGATTAACAAACTCGTGGAGAAATCTAAAAGCTCACTTCAATGAATTGAATTATGCGCTGAAAATGTCGCCTAGTAGGGCGATGAATGCTTCGCAAATTAACTATCCAGCTCAGAGAACACAACCACATCAAAATTTGGCATTTGTAAATTACGCAATTCGAAGAGAAGCGAAATCACCAAAGGTTTCTAATGAAATCGTGGAAAATACCCATGAGAACATTAAAGGGAAAAGAACAAGAAGTTCCGCAAACTTGTTGATCTTTTCGGTGATTTAATTCTCAAACGCAACTGTACAGTCGCATTTAGGCAAAGTTTAACAATAGCGTCCCAAGGAATACGAACACATGAGTGACCTTAAGCAGATCTGTCAGAAAAATCATGGATTTTCGCTCAAAATATTACGTTTATTTACATAAAAATGCATGAAAAAACATTAAACAGGGTATTTTTTCTCTGATATGAGATGAAAATATGTCCCTATTATAATGGAGAGCGTCAGTTTTTAAATTAAACCAATTTCTATACATGTTTTCATCCAGGTGACTAAAAATAACTTGGTTTCGTGAGCCATTTATTCCTCTTATTCTATTTATTTTGGGTCGACGAAACCATCGGAATAGTTAACTCGATTGTGTATATAACCTAAATCCGACAAGCAGTTATATCCTGCCTATTCATTCGTGTAGATAGCAGTGCCAGGCGAAACCAGTCTTTGAATAATAGGCAGAAGAGTGTTGGTACTCCTGCCTGGAATAGGTTCAATCAATCCCTTCTGAATTTGGGTGTCATAAATTCCCAATAGCCAAACGTTGTTGGCTCTGGCACGAACGCGATTGTATTTCTTCTTTATAAGCACTGTTTCGTCGATGTGAACGACAACACCGACTCCTTCCAACACCTGTGTAATATTGTTGATTTTCCATGCGGTTAAATCCCGACAAAACTGGAACTACTGCGCAGTAGACATCGAAATATTTTCTGTTTGAGCGGCGTTGACCTCACTCCGTACTTCAAAATCAAGTAATGACAAAGAAACAGTATATTCATTAAAGAAAGTTTCGATTTTGCAAAGAGAGTTCCTAGAAGACGATTAACTGAGCGTGCCGTTTACCAGTACGAACACTCGTTCGTTTCCTACACTCCGTAAATCTAAATATATATCCATCAGTGTTTTGTGAATACGGTTGCAGGCTCATTGAAGCACCGCAACTACATATACGAGTACATCCTATCAATCCATAAACCAGAGAGTATTTACAAATGTGATCTGGGTGAAATTTGTACCTGAGCTCATGAACAGCGTTCACTTTTGCACTAGAGTAATCGTAGGTTTATTTAGCCAAACACTAGCATGCGCTCAAGGTCATTTGAACGTATGCACTGCATGGAGGCTATTGTTGAACTTCGCCCGCAAAATAACACAGGATTAAGAAATACTTGCGTTATATATACAATAGTTTCTTTCTAACGAATACAGATGTGAACAGGATGGGCATGGAAATAAATTGAGGTATTAGTTTTTATAATCGAAATAAAAAATTTCATATATTCATTGTACATTATCAGTTTGACTAAAACAAGAACAACAATGGTATCATCATTTATTTCGTTGGCTTCTCATCACCTGCTTACAGCCCAAATAAATTATTATTATTAAGTTCTTGTACATGGTTCGGGGTTCAATTCCCGGCCGACGCACTCCTTTACATCATTAAGCCAGAAATAATGCTGGTAAATAGGAAAGGTTCGGCATGAGGCTAGCAACCCCATCCTGTAAAATAAACAGTGCTACAGAAACTTCAAGCCACTAGCCTGAAGCTCTATGTTCCGCTGAGGAACATGAAGGAAAATAAAAAGTTCATGCACAGAAAAGTTGTAACATATTTTCAAATTTTACATGATGTCAGTTGACAGGAAGCTTTGAACTTAGTGACCAGTTGGAGGCAATCGGCAGGAAACCTCGGACTTAGGTTTGGAGGTGAAAAAGTTGCAGAAAACCGAAGGCAATGGAGACGTTTGGTTGAAGCCCTGTTTTCCTCTAGGAATTAAAGGATATAATAATAACATAATAATAATATAAAAATAGTCATTTACACAGATTTTCTGTATTGTTGTGCAACTTCTACCCTTCGTATTGTCTTCTACTTTTGTCTTCCTTTCGTGTCTCCAGTGTTTAGCTGCAATATGCTGGTTTATTTGCTCTCTTTGATATCTAATCTTTCTCTCTGCTATTTGATATTTTAACGTGCCTATGGACGCCTCTTCAAATGCTACTGATGAATTTTATCAGTAACACACACCAAACTGGGATAAATGCTTCAATGATGGTGGTAGGTTCGTTTCTCAGTGGTAACACCATCAGTTACTGGAAATTTAGGTGCATCCAAGTGACGAGTCTCTAGTAGGACGAAATGGTTCTACCTCCCACCTTTTGGATTCCATTGTTATACACCATCAACTAAGCAACATCATAGTAATCGCAAAGCATCGTCAAACCATCCATACTAGTAGCTAATATGCCAGCATCAAGACCGATCAGTTCCAATCTGAATAGAATCAATCAAAGGGAAATACGCATTAGTAAACTTGAACAAAGTGAGAACGACAAATGTACTTGAGAAACATGTGTTCATCTTTTAAATATTTCGGGGATTCTTCGCAACTGGTTACAACCTGAACAATACCAGAAAAGTATAAATTTCATTAAAGATTTGGATACACTCTCTTGGCCATAACAAGGAGTAACCGCTAGGAGCTAAGAGTAATATCAGTCCAGAATGATGTCCAGAAGTTGTTGACTATTTATAGGATAATTACCCCAACACTCATGAGAATAAGGTTCACAATTTTTGGGTTGAAACAAAGTTTGCAAAGTTAAAGTATCATAGCCAAAACCACAGTCACCTTGACCAACCAATGAGAATTAGGATGCAAGGAAGTAGCATAATCGATGAAAATTACACTAAAAAATAATTGCAGACTTGATATGACACTGTAAAGTTGTAGCTCATAGTGTTGGAAGAATGTTTCCCAGTCAATACACAGATGATCTATAGAGAAATCCTACCATGCATGACATACCCATTCATCCAGGTGACTGCAGATCATAGTGTGGTGAGAGCTGGCTGTTAGCCAAAATTGGTGGACAGTAATTTACGTCAGTGTTTGTGTCCCCAATATTGGTCGTGAGAAAAATGAGAACAAAGGCTTTGCATAGACGGATACAGCTAGCATATAGATGATCTGACATTCAAGGAACAGTCACAAAGAAATACAAGGTTAACTTTCTGTGAGAAACAACCAATCATAAGACTGTGTTTTTCTACTAACAATAATCTATATTAATGTACATGAAAATCTATAAATATGTGTTGATTTCCTTAATAAACGATCTGTTTCCTGGCCATTGTCTTCTGTTGTTACAATGGCACTTTTAGGTCCGTTGATATTTCTAACACTAAACTTCAACCTACCCTTAACTCTAACCATAATCCTAACTTCTGATCTTAAACTAAAGCCAAAAACCTTAATCTTAAAAGCCATAACCCTACCTAACAATATAGATTTGCAGATGAAGTACCCAGTAAATAGGCAGAATACTATATCTGCCCACTCCTAGTCCAAAAAGGCAGGTATGATTTGATTTGGAATGATGTCTTATAGCATTCGCTGAGTCTGATGGTTTCTTGAAGGTCAACTTTCGGAAGACCTTGAATTTGGCTGTGATACTTTAACTTTACCCGAAGTTTTACTAGAAAGAGTATAAGAATACATTAGGTTACGTTACTAACATTAATTTAAACAAATCCTCACTATGGTTACCAAGTTTATACATTCGACAGTTAGTTTTACTTTATTTGATGACCTTGTGAATCGACTATAAATACCACAGAAATCAAAAGCATTGGAAACAATGACTAGTTCATGTTGTAGGTGAACTAAAGACTAAATGACCGTCTGCGCGGTCAGAGAAGCTACTGGTTGAAAGAAGTCTCTCCTTACGATGTCGTTGTTCAAACTTGTAAATGTTTTTGACAGCTGACTGTTTCAGGTTGAAAGGCATTTCGTTGGAAGGGAGATGAGAAATTAGAGCAAGGGATACACAGAACACAAGAACATCAAAAGCGGTCGTTCATGTACAGTTTAACAACATGTTGCATAATACTTACATGCATTAGCCTTTTCTACTGTCTTGTGAGCCCTATTAGTCGAGCTGGC